TGAATATAATTCCCAAACTTTTCCTAAAGTGTCATTTTGGTCACTATTAGGATTCAACCATTCTTCCTAATTTCAAGCTTGAATAAACATGCTAAGATATAAAACATAATATTCTCATCACATCTAACATAAAATCAATTCAAAACATCAACCCCTTAACTTTTCATCTTTTCCAAATAGATCCCTAAAGGAATACTAATGGATTTTTCATTACTTGGAACATGAAATCAACATCATGACACGTATATCATCATTTTTCAAGCTTTAAAACCTCAAATTTCATCATCTCCTTCATCCACAATATTCATAAATTTAGGGTTATAAAGATGAACAACATGAACAAATGGTACCAAATGAAAGAGAATTCAATGGAGAACAAAATTAGATTTCATGTCTTAACCTTAAATCTAACTCAAAATACTTAAAAATCAAAATAAAAAGTTTACCTATATCTTTGTTATAACTCACGACAGCAGCAGAAATTCAAGAACACTCTTGAATATTTTTTTTATGTTTTTTAATCTTTTTTTGTATTTTATAATCTAAATGAATTTAAAATTCATTTTAGTCCAAAATGACTATTATGACCTTAAAATCTAATGATCATAATCATGTCACATTCAAATTTATCATCCAAGGGTTGAAATTAATCCATGAAGTTAGTAGTTTACAACTTTACCCTTGTAAAGTTCCAAAATTACAATCTTGTCTTTTTTAATCTAATGGCTAAGATTTAACATGGAAATCAACTTAAATCCATGTTAAATCTTATCATTTTAAAGTATGTAAAAGACATTTTCCCCTTGTTTTATCATCTAAAAAAATTTCCTGAATTTTTTATTCGATATGATTATCTAATTTTCCTCGAACTTTTACACTTTATAGCTTTTGACACAAATTCCGTACGAAAAATCTGAAACCCACGAAAACATCATTCTTGAGGGTAAACTATCCATTTACGGGACTAGGTTACATAATTTTTTTAAATTACACTTTGGTCTCTCAACTTTCTCAAGTTTTTACTTTAGCCACCAAACTTTCAATTTATTCATTTTGGTTACTAACTATATTTTTGGGGTATTACAATTCTTCCCCTTAAGAAAAATTCATCCTCGAATTTTTAGACGTACCTAGTTCAAAATAGATGCAGATATTGCTCTTTCATTGTCTGCTCTGTTTCCCAGTTTCTTCCACCTTGAGGTTCCTCCACAAAACTTTAACTAGAGGAATATTTTTTTTCCTTAACTACTTTTCTCCATGAGCTAAGATCCTTACGGGTTCTTCCTCGTATGACAAGTCCAGTTGGATTTCAATTTCTTCTAGTGTAATGATATGTGAAGGATCTGATCGATATTTTCGGAGCATTAACACATGAAACACATCATGAATCTTACTCATTTCCGGCAATAATTCTAGTTGATATGCCACTGGATAATCTCTTTTCAAAATTTCATAATGATCAGTGAATCTTGGACTAAGTTTGCAAGGTGAAACCTTTAAAAATACTTTGTCTCCAACTTTGAACTTAATATATATCCTTTTAAGATCTGAGTACGACTTTTGTCTGTCAAAGTCTGCTTTAAGATTATCTTGAATTATCTTTACATTGTCATCTACTTCTTGAACAAAATCTGGTCTAATGATTTTTCGATCCTCTAGTTCGAATCAATTTAATGGTGTTCGACATTTTCTTCCATATAATACATCGTAGGGTGCCATCTTTAAACTTGATTGGTAACTATTGTTATAGGGGAACTCAACTAATGAAAGATAATTTTCTCACGAGCCTGCAAATTCCATAATATAAGCCCTAAACATATCTTATAATATTTGGATAGTTCTTTCCGATTGTCCATCTGTTTGAGGATAGAAAGCATTACTAAAGTGTAATCGAGTTCCCAATTCTTCATGTAATGCACTCCAAAAACTTGAAGTGAACCTTGGATCTCTATCAGACATAATGGATGCAGGAACACCATGTAGTCTGACAATTTCCTTAATATATAACTATGTTAACTTATTCGAGGAGTAGTTAGTTCAAACTGGTACAAAATGTGTCGATTTAGTCAATCTATCTACAATCACCTAGATTGAATCCTTTTTACTTGGTTTTAGTTGTAAATCTTTTACAACATCCATAATAACATTTTCCCACTTCAATTGCGGAAGTGAAATTGGTTGGAGTCATCCTTATGGTACTTGATATTCCGCCTTTACTTGTTGGCAAGTTAAACATTTATTAACAAACTCAGTAATAACTCGTTTCATACCAGGCCACCAAAATTGACTTTTCAAATCTTAATACGTTTTGTTGCCTCCAGGGTGCATAGCCAAAGGACTATAATATGCTTCTGAAAGTGTTTCCTTCTTTAATTCCTTATCATTTGGAATATACACACGTCCCTTGTAATATAGGCATCCATCTGACCTTATTTCAAAGTCTTTAGATTCACCATGCTCAACTTGTTTCTTTATTTCCAAACATTTTTCATCTTTTGCTTGCAACTCCTTAATTTGACTTATCAAAGTAGGCTTAATTTCAAGTTTTGTCACTAATGCACCATCTTCCTGCAAATTTAATTGTGCATTCAAAGCTCTCAAGCCAAAGAATGTTTTTCGGCTAAGTGCTTCTGCTATCACATTATCCTTTCTCATATGATAATCGATGATTACATCATAATCCTTGATCAACTCTATCCACTATCGCTGTCTTAAATTAAACTCCTTTTGAGATAACAAGTATTTCAAACTTTTGCGATCAGTGTAAATATAACACTTTTCACCATATAAGTAGTGACGCCAAATTTTTAAAGCAAACAATATTGTAGCCAACTTCAAATCATGAGTAGGATAATTTCTTTCATGAGTTTTGAGTTGTCGAGAAGCATAAGCTATCACCTTCCCTTCTTGCATTAATACACACCCCAAACCATTATGGGATGCATCACTATATATTACAAAATCTTTTCCAGATTCTGATTGTACCAAAACAGGAGCTTCTGTTAATATCTTCTTTAGTTTGTCAAAACTTTTCTAACATTTATATGTCCAAACAAATGTCACATCCTTTATCAATTGCTTAGTAATTGGAGCAGCAATCATTGAAAAGCCTTTCACAAACCGCCGATAATAATAAGCTAATCCCATGAAACTTCTTATCTTAGAAACATTCTTAGGAGTTTTCTACCTATATGTTACATGTATATGTTATATATAATATATCCTTTAAAAAATATTTTCTAATTTTTTTAATAATTTATAAATTATTATTTTATAACTATGATATATATTCAAATTTTTTAATAATAGTTTTAGTATTTTTTTTTAATTTACATATTCAATTTTTTTAGTAATTTAATTTTTATTTTTAATATTTTATATTTAATTTTTTGAATATCTAAATATTTTTATATTTAAATTTTAAATAATTTTTATTTTTTAAAAATAATTAAACAAATCCTTGAACCTTTTTAAAAAAATCAATTTGGCCCTTGAACAAAACAAAAAAAAATCAATTGAATCCATTTTGCTATGTCAATTGTCACGTCATTAGCCACTATGAACTGTCACGTCAGCACTGTAACAGTCAACGACGGAAAACATTGGTTAAAAAGTCACATTAAATTTTTTTCTAAATTGAAAGGTCACATTGAGTGAAAAATAATATACTAATTACATTGATTTTTTTTAAATACAAAGATGTCTAATAACAGTTTATTATAGTGAAAGCGAGAAATATTTCATCCCAATCTTAAGCTACCGTATCTCTTTCCTTCCATCGTATACTTTCATTGTAATTTGGATATTTTCTATTTTTAATAAAATTAGCAGTTTCTATAAAAAAAATTAAAGATATAAGAAAATATGTATTCACAATTCTTAATTATTAAATGGGTAAAGTACACAAATGATCCCCGACTATAGTACGATGCTTTGTTGAGTCCCCTAACTATTAAAAGTTACAAAATGATCTTTCAACTATAGGATGTTGTTTTGTTGCCTCGACTATTAAAAGTTACAAAATGGTCACTCACCCGACTATTCATATGTTCCAAACTAGTCATTTTTCATTAATAAATTGATGGTCGTCTGAGTTTGACATTAACATGCTGATTGAGATATGATAGTCGTTTGAGATTCTGCGATCAGATTTTATCATATCTCAATCAACATGTTAACATCCAACTAGGATTGTCATCAATTTTTTAACTAAAAATGATTAATTTAGAACATATGAAATAGTCGAGTGATCGTTTTGTAACTTTTAATAAACAAGGGATCCGACAAAGTAACGCCCTATAGTAAAAAAAATCATTTTATAACTTTTAACAGTCGATGACTAAAAAAATCAGTACCCTGTGACCGGAGACCATTAATATACTTTACCCTTATTAAAATATAGTTTTATTAATACGGTGTAATACTCTTGTCAAAACAAGATAGAATATTACTTTATCAACATTTCATCTTGTAAATTTATTATTGGCATGTGATTTAGAATTATTGGAGATTGTATGTCTTGTGCAAATGTTTGTAAAATGATTATCTTACTAAATTATGTCCTGATCAAATTTATCTTAACTTCGACTTTTAGAAGTAATAATTTCAATCTGTTTTATGATTGAATTGGGTCTAAGATATTATATCTATCCTACCTAAACCATAGAAAAGTTCTCTCAAAATTTATTTTAATTTAAATACCATCAAATATAGAAGTTTTAGATTTAGTTTGGTTTATGTTTGAATAAATTATAGTTATTAATCTAATTGTTCATTGTAATCATCGAATATTATAGTGATAATTATTCATATGTATATTAATTAGAATTCTAATTGTACTCATAATTTTACTTGTAGATTAAAAAAACTGAGTTATACTACTAATTAAGAAAGTTGTGAATCGTTTATTAAAAAAATAATGTATGAGTGATGTTACAAAGAATCATCATAATTTATTGTTATATTACAAACTTTTGTATTGAAGCCAAGAGGGCATAATAGATGTCTTAAATCAATAGCAAAACAAAATAAAATACAAATTTACTTGAATCAGATCAGTTGGTTTTTGCAAACTCAAGAGATTTCTTGCCCTTATGTGCATTTCCAAAGAAGCTGTTCATATAATCTGCAAACACAAATTCTCTGTCACGAGCAATTCCATCTTTCTCCACCGCTTGAGGCAATGGTGCGATCTTTTGTGTTGCGTCGGGACTTACGAATATTGGTATTGATACTCGAGATTTTGTACTTGTGGTGCGTACTCTATGCTCTGCACTTTTGTACCTTCCATTACTCCATATCTGAATTGAAAGAAATTATGTATTAGAACAGAGTATACTGAATTTTCCATAAATATGAAGTTTTCTTGAAAGTTAATATTGATTTGAACCTGTAACATATCACCAACATTGATGACTAAGGCTCCGGGAATAGGAGGAATCTCTACCCATTCTCCCTTCTTTTCCATGTCAACGTCTTCAAGAACCCTCACATACAAACCACCAATCCCATCTTGTAATAATATTGTAACAGTACCCATATCGGAATGACGTCCTACACCGACTGTGAGTTCAGGATTAGGACATGTTGGGTAAAAGTTCATGTTAACCATCTTCTTTTCTATGAATGCATCGATCTTCGAGTCGTCTAGTTCCACTCCCAGACTTCCCATCAAAGCTTCAAGCAATTTCTTCACCATGTCATGTGAGGTCTTCAAATATTGAAGAGCATCATCCCTTCAAAGAGATTTCAACATTGATATTTCTATTAATTAGGTTTCAAAATGCCAAGGAAGAAGAAAAGAAAATACAGATCATATATATTTCATTACCTGCACTCCACAGGCCATTGTTGCAGAGCTTCGTCATCATTGGTGTAAGCCATGCTAATGTAGTCTTTCCATTCCAAAGCCTTCTCCTTCTCGGGCACAAAACTCGTCCCATACTTCACTAATAGGGATGGACTCATTTCCTTACGATACACAGCCTTTCTTTCTGCAGGCAAACCAAAGAAGTTATGTGCCGTCTGCTTAAGGGAGTCGAGTAATTCTACAGGAACTCCATGGTTGATAACTTGGAAGAATCCAAGAGTCTCAGCAGCTCTAACAATTTGATTCACCACTTCATCATGGTGAGGACCATCAAGCCTGGACAAATCAATGGGTGGAATCTCACATTTGGTAGCCTTGTTCTTATTAATTTGCTCATCGGGTGGCTGAATGTAAGCCTGGGGTACCTTTGAAATGCCAGAATCCACAATTCCTTTGACGCCGTTTCCATCCCGGACGACAAAATTAAAGAGGGAGCTCTCATTGTCAAAACTGGGTGCCATTTGAGGGTAAAATGTTTTAAGTAACTAAAGCTGTTGGGGAATTGCTTTGCTTTTGTATGTGCAGAAAGGGTTGTTTGATTTGAAATTTTACGGTGGATCCACCAAAAGGAAGGAGGGGGCGTTTTATAGTGCGTGATGGATGATTATAATTATTAAAATACGAATTTTGTGTTGACAGCAATGGTTTGAACTTTTCAGAAAAAGAAGGTATGGGGGCGTTCGATTATGACAAGTTTTACCTTTGAAGAAATTTAGGGAATTATGAATTCAAGGCCAGTTGCCACAATCTCCATTTCTGACCAAAAAAATTAAACAAAATGTCAATTAACGAAAAAATAATTAATCTTTCTAGTAAAAAGACCAGAGGAAATAGAACCAAGGGAAAAATCTCAACACGACCAGAGTAATGATTTTCCCAATGAATCACAATCCTTAGTTCTACGAAACAAAGAAAGAAATTGCTACACTTTTGTAAATGGCAAATCCTTCAACGACAAGGTTCAATTCAAGCCCCTGGCCATCAAAGGAGAAACAGAACATGACTCGGTAACGCATCAAAATCTAGAAATATGTGTACAGGATATTTCAAAACTATAAACTAAATTTTCAATTATGGTAAATTAAAACTTTTAAATATGTGGTGCCTTTGAGGGGAAGGCTGGTGCAGGAGTGGTAGTGTGAAATAGCCATCTTTTCATCCTTTGGAGGGTTCTCTTCAGCAATAGCGGCCTTAAAAGATAATAATTTTCACAAATGAATTGGTTATTGCGCTTCAGCAATAATTAGTTTCCAATTGTGATGTTTTGCTTAATTTTTCAGTCAGAATTGGAGATTGTGGCAACTTCCTTGAATTTATAAATTCCTAAGTTTCTTCAAAAGTAAAATAATTGTCCTGACGAAAAGTTCAAATCCGTTGGCATCATAAGTCAAGAAGAAAAACATTTTTTATTAGTAGATGGTCATCCATTCATGCGCTATAAATAGCCCCCCACCCTCTTCTTTTGTCGATCCACAACACAATTTCATATCAAACAACCCTTTCTGCACATACAAAAGCAAAGCAATACCCGACAGCTTACTTAAACACATTACACCCGAGTGGCACCCAGTTTTGATAATGAGACCTCCCTTTTTAACTTTGTCGTCCGAGATGGAAACGGCGTCAAAGGAATTGTGGACTCTGGCATTTCAAAAGTGCCTCAGGCTTACATTCAACCATCCACCGAGCAAATTGATAAGAACAATGCCCCCAAATGTGACATTCCACCCATTGATTTGTCCAGGCTTGATGGTCCCGACCATGATGAAGTGGTGAATCAAATTGTTAGAGCTGCTGAGACTCTTGGATTCTTCCAAGTTATCAACCATGGAGTTCCTATAGAATTACTGGACTCCCTTAAGCAGACGGCCCATAACTTCTTTGGCTTGCCTGCAGAAAGGAAGGCTGTGTATCGTAAGGAAGTGAGTCCATCCCCATTAGTGAAGTATGGGACGAGTTTTGTGCCCGAGAAGGAGAAAGCTTTGGAATGGAAAGACTACATTAGCATGGCTTATACCAATGATGACGAAGCTCTGCAACAATGGCCTGTAGAGTGCAGGTACTGAAATATATAGGATCTGTATTTTCTTTTCTTTCTACCTTGGCATTTTGAATAGAGATTCATATAACTACTGAAATTCTCTGTGTAGAGATGATGCCCTACAATATTTGAAGACGTCACATGAGATGGTGAGGAAATTGCTTGAAGCTTTGATGGGAAGTCTGGGAGTGGAACTAGATGACTCATTCATCGGAAAGAAGATGGTTAACATGAACTTTTATCCAACATGTCCTAATCCTGAACTCACAGTCGGTGTGGGACGTCATTCCGATATGGGTACTCTTACAATCTTATTACAAGATGGGATTGGTGGTTTGTATGTGAGAGTTCCTGAAAATGTAGACATGGAAAAGAAGGGAGAATGGGTAGAGATTCCTCCTATTCTCGGAGCCTTGGTCATCAATGTTGGTGATATGTTACAGGTTCGAATTAATATTAACTTTCAAAACCGCTTTATATTTATGTAAACTTCATTTGTAGTGTACACTCTGATCTAATTTATCTGTATTCAGATATGGAGCAATGGAAGATACAAAAGTGCAGAGCATAGAGTGCGCGCCACAAGCACAAAATCTCGAGTGTCAATACCAATATTCGTGAGTCCTGAAGCAACACAAAAGATTGCACCATTGCCTCAAGTGGTGGAGAAAGATGGAGTGGCTCGTTACACAGAATTCGTGTTTTCAGATTATATGAACAACTTTTTTGGGAATGCACATGACGGCAAGAAATCGCTCGAGTTTGCTAAAATCAACTGATCTGCTTCAAGAAAAAGACGTGCGCTACTTTATTATTTCAGCTATTGATTTTTGGACAAGAAAAATGCTCTTATGTGACAATAAATTAAAAGATGTTTTACCGTCTTTCTATAGTTTCTTTTTAATGAAATGTTGTAATGTAATGTATTTGTGATTCACATTTTTATTATTGTATCAATATATTTCAATTCAATCCCTCGTATAGTTTTAAATATAGAATATTTGTTAATTATTTCCAAATCTTTTAAAGAAAGTTTCAGTATAATTGTGGTTAATATATTCAAATAACTATATTAGAATCAATCAAATAATATATGATTTGACTAATAATAAAAATATTCAAAGTTAGATTAGAATAAAAATCCACAAATACACCATGATAAAATTGTAATAATATCAAACGTGATAAAATCCACAAAGTATAATTATTATTTAAATACACCATAATTATATTAGAGAAAATAACCTCAGTGACCAAAAATGCCTTATAATATACGATTTTAACCAACTTTTTTTGGATTTGCCAAAATGACCAACTAAATCGCAATGCAATCGATAATTCGCAACGCGATCTCCGGTATCGCAAATCAGTTTCCAGATTCGCAACGCGATTCTGACTATTGCATTGTGATTTTCCAAATTCGCGTTGCGATTTTCCGACTATCGCAATGCGAATATGTAAATCGCAATGCGAATATGACTATCGCAACGCGATTCTGACTGTCGCAACACTGAATTTCAAATTCGCAACAGGTTTTAGTTTCGCAACACAAATGTTTTGGGTATATAACTACGCAGCAGAAGCAACTCATAACCTAAATCCCTAAATCGCAACTCATTCCATCTCTATCTATCACTCTCTCCGGCGATATCCGTTCTTATATCCAACGACATCCTTCCCCATCCGACAACAGGTTTTAGTTTCGCAGCTCGTTTGTTTAGTAAATTAATTTACAATAATGAAATCATCTAATGTTGATCATGTTTGGATAGATTTGTGTTTTGGAGGGTCATGGGAGAATGTTCATGGTGTTTTACAATATATGCCTTTACCCATGAATCTTCAACTAAAACTGTCATTAAAAAAGTTAACTTATGAAACTCTAATGTTACGTGTTGCAAATAAATTGAATTTAGAGCCCTTAAGTGGATTTAGGCTATCTTATCATAGAAAAGGTAAAGTTTATTTGTTAACCGACAATGAAGATGTTGAACGATTCATTGCTTACATTAGTGTTTCGCAAGATGATGTTACATTGTATGTTGTTGAACCTAGAAGTAGTGAAGTTGGGTCAGTAGCGGGTAGTAATCAACTAAGTTTTTCAACCCCAGTTTATGGTGCTCAAAATTTAATGATTCCACCACAATTTCATCACCAAGCAAATTTTGTTTCACCACATTTCTAATACCAAACACAATCTCAAAACCCACAACCTTTCCCTAATCCAAATCCCAATCAACTTTCAGCACCAAATTCCAGTTTTCGTATTAACCAGTTAGACGATGATGAGACAACAGAAAAAATTGTGAGTACTAGTCGGTATTCGAAATTTGATATTGGTCAATACCCGGACTTTGATCTTGGTCAATACTCGGATTTTGATGATGTTTCAGAAGAAGAAATAGACCCTGCGTGTAATGATTTTGATATTGATCAATACCCGAATTTTGATGATGAAACAGCCACTGCCGAGGAAGATGTTGTTGATGATAATGAGGAGGAAGTTACGAATGTGAATGAACATGTTGAACATTCATTCTGTAATTCATATAACCCTGAAGAAAAAAAAGAAGAAAAAGAAATCCCCGAAGAAAAATCCCCGAAGAAAATGCCACGGGAGTATAACTGGAATATGCCAGAATTACTTCAGATACTGGAAGAAGAGTTGGTAAAAATAGCAGTTGATTGTTACACAAAAATTATTCGTATCAAGAAAGATGATTGTTTTGATACAAATGAAGACTTGAAGATAGCTTTGTATACGAAATGTGTGGAAGATGGCTATCAACTAAAAGTTAACAAATCAAGCAAAGATCGTTTCGAAACAAGGTGTATGATTGACAAAAATTGTACGTGGCGTATGATTGCAAAGAGGATAAAAGATTGCGAAATGTTTCAAGTTAGGACTTTTATTGATAAACATACATGTTCAAGAACCCAAGTTTTTCCTCACCATAGACAGGCAAACAAAAAGTTGTTAGGTGGCTTTCTAGCTGAGTTAATGTTTTTGAATAGCAGGGTATATCGGGGACATGAAATTATGACTGACATGAATGCTCGGTTCAAGATTAGTATCTCATATTCTCAAGCTTGGAGAGCCAAATGTTATGCCTTGGAATTGTTGAGGGGGTCGCCAGAAGCATCGTTTGCCCAACTGCCGGCTTATTGTCACAATTTAAAGCTGAAAAATCATGGGTCGGTAACTCATATCAAAACAGATAGAGATGGACGCTTTGAGTTACTGTTTATCGCCATTGGTGCTGCGGTTAGTAAATCAATATAATTTTGTTGACTCATTTTTGTTAGTTACATACATTTCACATTTAAATGATTATATTTCTTGTGTATATGATTTTGTAGATTCGTTCGTTTATTACTTGCATGCGCCCAATTATTATAGTTGACGGAGCACATTTAAAA